AACCGGTTCCGAGTAGAGAATTCCCGCAGTCGCTCCAGGTCAAGGGAAAGAGATCGGTTAAATTGGTCAGATCAGAGAGACCGAGATCACGGCTTCGGATCAAGATCGGATTACTATGAGAGAAGAGATGATGCCCAACGACAGAGACAAGACGCCTTCATCGCGAGGTCAGACACACTCCAGTCTGTGGTGTCTTCATGAGCGAGCATACACGACACGAGCAGTTACTGAGCATGATGAAGGAATTGTTTTCGGTGCATAATTACCTTTATTTGTTTTCTGCTTTTCTCTATCAAGGCGTCTGCAGGAACGTGAGAGAATTGGTGAACTGGGATGTCCTGAGGTCTGGGGATATTCTCCAAGAGTCAGAGAACCTGAGTGAGTTCATATTAAATACCATATATCAGTGTCTACTGTTATATGTTTTATAAAGTATAAAAGGGGTCTAAGGATACATCACTATCTGTTAATACATCGAACAAATGCAACACATAAATCAACATATTTATTTGTAAGATGTGCCTTTATTTTGACACTCTCATGTAGCCTCATCTGGAAATCTGCATTATGGAATATATTTGACAAGTTTTAACTTCTTTTTTTTTTTTTCTGTATTAATGTAATCTTCTACAACTGGGGTTCCTCATTTTGTTGTGTACATACTAGATTTGCAGATTTTAGAAAACACAAAACTAAAAGACTTTCTTGACTCTTGTCATTGCTTTTCTTTTCTACATGAGATTGGTCTCATGTAGCTTTTTTTCTTCATTTATTATTTTTTTTTTTGCTAAGAACGAACCGAAATGAAAACATTTAGCTTTTAATCTGTGTATTTAACAGCCTGGGAGACCTTCCCAAGGCAGTACCTTGCCTCACCGACTAAAATCAGGCCGCCCACTACGGAGACGGCACCAGAGGTGAGGGGGCACAGTGACCGAGGTGGCCGGGCCAGGCCCCCTCAGCCCCCCCCCCGTGGCGCCGACGCTGGTTCATGTTATTATATTTTGGTTGCATTACACACACTAAATAACACACACTATTTTAGTGAACACTTTTATTAAGCAAGGATGCATTAAATTGATTGAAACAAGTGGACATGCATTTATAATGTTGCAAATATTTCTATTTCAAATAAATGCTGTTTTTTTACTTACTATTAATCAAAAATATTAAGCAGCACAACTGTTTTTTTAACCTTGATAATCAGAAATGTTTCTTGAGCAGCAAATCAGCATATTAGAATGATTTCTGGAGGATCATGTGACGATGAAGACTGGAGTAATGAAGCTTTACATCACAGGAATAAATTACATTTTAAAACATATTAGAAAACAGACATTTTAAAGTGTAATAATTTGACTATTGCTGTTTTAACTGTTTTAATCAGATAAATGTAGTCTTGGTAAGCATAAGACTACTTTCAAAAATATTTAAAAAATAATCTTACTGCATTTTCTTTGTATTTCTACATTATTTAAAAAAAACCTAAACCTGTGCTTGAGTGATAAAAGACATTTTAACTGTACTTGTACAGTGACAATAGCTTAAATTGAGTTGAAACTCAAAAACAGTCTATGTACAGTAATATATTCTTCATCATACTCTGTGCTTAAATGCTTTCATCTAATATCTTGTAATAGCTCAGATGAGCACACTCCTGTAGAAGAGGACGTGAAGAACAGCAGCTCTGATTCAAATTCACAGGGTAAATGATTCTTTAACATCTCACTTACACACAATGTGCTTTTTCACAGCAGGTTTACCGAATATGAACCAGAAGTTGTTGAATAAATAATCTAAATGTCTGATATCTTGTCTACAGAGGAAAAGAAGAAAAAGAAAAAGAAGAAGAAGAAAAAGAAATCAAAGAAGAGAAAGAACAAGAAGCACTCAGAGGACAGTGAGTCAGAAAGTGATTCTGAAGGTTTGTGGCATTTATTTTTGTTCTAAAACAAATTATTTTTGTGTGTAAGATTATATAAACAGTAACCTGCTGGTTTTGCAGAAGAGATGAAAAAGAAGAAAAGAAAGAAGAAAAGTAAAAAGTAAGAATCTTGTTTTCATCTGTAGTGTGTTGAATCAGCAAGGCTTGATTAGTTTCATACGATGCCATGATTTTGTCCTCACAGGAAAAAATCTAAGAAGAAGAAGGCGAAGAAGAATCACAAGGAGTCCAGTAGCTCTAGCAGTGAACATTCAGAGGAAGAAGAAGAGGATGTCAATGAAATCTCATGGGTGGAGAAAACTGGTGTTGGAGAACATGTTGTTGGACCTGAAGCTCCTCTCACTCACTTGTCCCAAGATGACAAACCTTTGGAGTGAGCAATTGATTCTTCCTCCACTGTTGCTTAATGATAATGGTGGTTGTTTTTAAGTCATTTTTGATCCTGTCTCTGGAACCCAAGGTTACAGCTTTGTGCCTTTGTGTCTTGTTTCCCATAGTTTTGGCCACGCTTTGCTACCAGGTGAAGGTGCGGCCATGGCAGAGTTTGTCAAAGCAGGAAAGCGTATTCCAAGAAGAGGTGAAATCGGTTTGACTAGTGATGAGATTGTAGAGTTTGAGAAATGTGGCTATGTCATGAGTGGAAGCAGGTATGGAGCTTTTATATTGTACATTTGTGCACATACACTTCTGTTCGATAGTTTGCTGTCAGTTCTTTGAAAGAAATTAACACTTTTATTAAACAAGGATGCATTAAATTGATCAAAAGTGTAAATATATTTGTTACACAAGATTTCTATTTCAAATAAATGCTGTTCTTTTGAACTTTCTATTCTTCAAAGAATCCTGAAAAAAATGTATCATGGTTTCCACAAAAATAAAATGAATGTAGTCTTAAGTAAAAAGATGAAACTGTTATAATTGTAGGTGGAGTAAATTTTATTCCTTATGCCTCTCAGACATCGGCGTATGGAGGCTGTGCGTCTGAGAAAGGAAAACCAGATCTACAGTGCTGATGAGAAGAGAGCTCTTGCTTCCTTTAACCAAGAGGAAAGGAGAAAGAGGGAAAGCAAAATCCTTTCCAGCTTCAGGGAAATGGTGTACAGAAAAACTAAAGGCAAAGACGAGAAGTAGACTGTCCTGCAGAATGATATTTTCAGCTGGGATGTCATTATTTTTCTTTTCACATAAAACAAAATGTGATTAAGTCACAGATTCTACACAAATGTGTGTTTGTATTCATTTTTGTCTGCTTGGGCATCCTCCTGTACAGTTCACAGTGAGAGGCTTGTGAACTAAAATTGATGTGTACGTTTCTTTTATTACAAACAAGAAATAAACTCTGATCAGTAGAACTCGAACCATTAACCACTGCAATTCCCTTCATGTAATGTGTGTTGCATCTAAATAAAAATGGTCATGTGATCCACTGTCATGCTGGAGCTTTCATCAAGAATGAGAATTTCTTTAGTAATAACCCTGCATTAACCTTGTGAGCTTAGTTAAACTATAGAGTCTTTGTTTTTTGAAATGTGCTTTGAATCTCTAGTTGTAGGAACTGTCAACAATATTCATTTGCTTCTCTATAAAGACACTCAAGCGCCATTAAGATGACGCGGTTATTGTAAAAACAGAATCAGAAACACAGTGAGCAGTGAAATAGATTGATGCTTTCGCTAAAACTGCAGAAAACAACAATGCTGCAAATACAGTTATTTTGACTCGGCCAGGGTTGTGACTAGATTTTTTTTTTTTATCTACATTTAGCGTTATTAATCAGTATGTTAAGAACATTTGAAAAATAAACATAATTGTTACAATTTGTTTATAGATTGCAAGGAAATACAACGTAAACATTTAAATTACTTGTTAACTTTGTTTTCTGCTCATGAGAGCATTTTGATCGTTTGTTTTAAGCAAAATATAAAAATGGAACACCCATACAGAACCTTTTCTGTCACATGGCCTTCTGCCTTACATATGTATCTAAACTTAAAAATAAAAGCGTAGTAAAACATTTGATCTTAACCTTTAATATTCATATCTAATTGGGCTGAACTGATGATTTTCTTTCTCGGGGGCCATATATATTGTCCGGGCCACTGGGAAGGAAATATAGAGACTGGACCTCTTGGAACTTTAATTGAATACCCCTGCTTTAAAATAATGGATTTTTACATTTACGGCTATATAAAATAACACTAATAATCTTATTGCACTTACAAAGAGAAAAATCTACACAATAAACAATAGTAAGTAGAAGTCACAATAGTAACTTCCATGTCTTTTCCCAGCCTGGAAATCACAATTCTATCACGAAGCCTGCTAAAAGAATTATGGTTTGGAATAGAAGTATGTCATGTCTGCATGCTTGCTTCGTCATCATCTCAATTTTCTCCACTGGACGACTAAATGGATGTAAAAAGTGCACAAGATTTTCTTCAAAAAATAAGTGTTACTACTTTAGTACAATTTGTATACTTATTGCATTACCACATATTATGTCAACTGACACTCATTTGAAGCTGTCAGAGGATTCTGTGGAGCCTGTATATTACATAAACATATTACACCATTTATTCACATTATGTATACTTCGTGTATTTTCAAGCCTTTTGTAGATCCACTTAAATCGATCAATTAGAATTATTTTAAGTACTTAGCACATTTTAGACTCAGTCTGCAGTATGTCATGTGTATTATGTACAATGTATTTATATGCATTGCTCTGCCTCTCTGTAAAAACTGCCAGGATTAGATCATGCACTCTATATTTTAACCCATCATTACACTTGAGTACATGGTGAAGTGACAAAGTGATGTAATAAAATGTTTTACTCTGCCAACTAAAATCAAAATTAGTCTTAATTACGATTAACTAAAACCTCAGTTAAGTGGGTTAAGGAATTATTAACCTAATAAAGTAAACTATGCAAACAAATCATATTCAAATGTATATTCACACCACAGTGAACCAGTATCAAAACAGTACAATATAACAGCTCTATAAAAAAATCAAATATGCACACACACACAAAATGAAAACAGCAAGCAAAACTAATAATTTAAAGATAACATTTTATTAGACGGCTGGACAAAATGTACATTTCAATTGTTGCTTGGTGGCTCTTCATTTGATGTTTTCAAGCCCCTATGAAATAAAGAAGAATATTAAAACACCAGCTATTGTGAGCATATTGTCAGTACTGATACGTTTCACATAAGTTTATACAAGTTATTACCTTTGCATGGTAATGTGCACCAGTTCCAGACACTCTCCTGTCTCTCTCCATCAAATACCAGTGATAGGGTACCCGTACGATCCTCTTTTCCTGAGTACAAGAAGAAGTGGATTAAACGCTGTAGACTTTCTATACGAGAGCGTACAGAAAGATCAGACAAATGTCAAGCTGAAACAAAGGTTCATATCTATTGAAAGATTCATTAAAGCATATACTCAATGATTGAGAGTGACAAACGTTGCTCATCATCATCATAACTCACCTTTCCACCGTTTGTGAACTTCTGGATTTGAGCAGTTGCGATGCCAGGAATCATCAGACAAACTGTCATAATAGCAAAACCGGGCAATATCTCATACCACATGCTTGTGGTGAAATATGAGTGTACAAACACAGAGAAATGATTGCAGAGGACACGATTTATTTAATGTTTTTCAAAAAACCTTGCAAAATTGTCTTCTACATATGCCAAAATGTCTGCCCTTATGACGGTCGGTCACAAAAACAACTCCCGTTCCGAGATGTTGTGTATAATTCATTTCCGCATCTGAAAACCTCGGCTGTAATACTGCAGCGCCGCATTGTGGCTCTTAGTGTAAGACTTTTATACTGCTAAAACTACTACAGTATTAACAGACTTATGGACACTTTGTTAATCAGGTCGTGCGTAGCATAGAATGACATTTTTTAATCATTTTTGAATGATATAGCCTAATGATACAAATAGTTAAAGAATTGGGAGGAGCACAGCAATGTCTAGCCTGTCCACTCTTCTTGTAAGAGCCACTTAAGTTCAGCAAAAGAGACAAGTATTAGGAAGTGTGTTAATTTCTTTTTACGTAATATTGTGGCAAATATGCTGTTAGTGTCATTAACAGTCACTAATTGTCATCGAGTTTTCTCCCTAGCAAGAGTCCACTTGACAACGATAAATTAGCAGAGTGGAAGAGTGGATTCTCCTCGCTTTATCGAGAGACTCTTTGCGTCATGAGCTGTAGCCAATCAGAGACGCCTGCTGCTGTTACGGAGAGACAACTGCGGAAAGTTGGACAGTGGAGAGATAGCTCACACACGACTGATAACAGTGAGAAACATACGCAGAACATCGCTGCAGAAGTTGGCAAAGGATCATGAAGGAGGACAAGGAAAACACGCGTCCCAGAGAAAAGAAAGTGGAAATAAAATGTGATGAAAATGAAAAGCCAGAGAAGCCAAATAAAGAGAAGGAGGCTTTGACAAAGGTAGTTAGTTAGCAGGCTAGCTGGCTACATTCCTGCTACAAATAGAATATAAACAGCGCAGCTAGCCGCTTTCATTTGAAATACTATAGATTATTGTTTGCAGCTGTATTTTTACTAACACGTTTACATATTCTCTTTTTGATTTAAACGTTGCGGTTGAATATAACTGAACAGACTGGTTAGCAAATCCCCTTGTCAAAGTTTCCAATCACTGCGGGGATTTGGCACTTTGTTAGCAAAATAATAAAGAGGAATCACCTAGAAACTTTGACAGGGGGATTTTTGTGGATACAGCCACAAACAATAATTGATAGTATTTTAAATGTCAGATCATATTTCAGTCACATTATTGTTATTATACACATCAATCACAGTTAATAAACTTTACCTTGTATATACAGTACATGTGCATATAGGTTAACAACTCTAACTCTTCCACTCTTAGCACCTCAACCACGTAAACTATATATATCTCATGTGTCATATGGGTATTACAGTGTATAAAACACATAAAGTGTGTGCAAGTAATTCCACTATTAATTTTTGTTCTTTTTACACTATTTTATTTTATTTTTTTAGATTGTGATCCGACGTCTTCCTCCGAGTCTAACTAAAGAAGATTTAGTGGAACAACTGCAGCCTCTTCCAGAGCTGGATTACCTGGAGTTTTTCTCTAGTGATACTAGGTTTGTAGCATTCTTATAAAAGAAAACAGAAGACTGAAACATAATGAAAGGTATCTGATGGCTGATCGAGATGTTTGTTTATTTGCAGTCTTTTCCCTCATCTGTTTGCAAGAGCGTATCTGAATTTCAAAAATCAAGATGACGTAGTTCTCTTCAGTGACCGGTTTGATGGCTATGTCTTCATTGATAATCGAGGTTTGATTTTTGTGTGTCATTATCATTTCCAGGATTCAGTGTTTACTTGCTAATCAGTGGTTTTAGGAGTCAGAATTTTGTGCCTTAAATCTCATAGAGTCTTCAGACTGAGATGGTTTGTGTGCTGGTAAATTTCTGGTGAACGTCTCTAACAGTGAGAACTGTTTTATCTTCTTTTTTCCACATTAGGTCAAGAATATCCAGCAATTGTTGAGTTTGCACCATTCCAGAAAACTGCTAAGAAAAGGAGCAAGAAGAAGGATGCAAAAAGTGGAACAATTGAAGATGGTCAAAAATGTGTGTGTTTTACATTTGATTGTTATCACTGCAAACAATAGTTTATTATTTGTTTACCTGTGACTTATTAGATGCTGATTACAAAACTTTTTTGGAGTTCTACAATGGTGATGAGGAAAAATTCCCTTCCAACCCTGAGACATTACTTGAGGAAATCGAGGCCAAGACAAAGGAACTTAGTGGTGTGTTTTTCAACACAACATCTCTAAACAAAAGAATTTTAAAAAGTTTTCGCTCTTGATTTAAAATAATTATCTGAAATGTTCTTTCCCCAGCTAAAAAAACGACACCACTCTTGGACTTCCTTAAGAATAAACAGGTAAAGTGAGGGTGTAATATTTACTGACTTAATTGCATACTTCATTAGCCTGACATCAGTTCATTTAGTTTCCATATATAATACGCCATACTGTATGTGTAGTGTGTTCATGCTCTCTCATCCTGTCCTCCCCAGAGGATTAGAGAAGAAAAGAAAGAAGAGAGGAGACGGAGAGAACTAGAACGTAAACGCCTGCGAGATGAAGAAAGGCGTAAGTGGAGAGAGGAGGACAGAAGAAAAAGAAAAGAGGCTGAGAAATTTAAAAAAGGAGAAAGGGCATCTGATAAGGATAAGGACCAACCTAAAGATGAACAGCCAAAAATTAAGGTACGTCTAAATATTATTGATTACATAGATTCATTTTTGAGTTTCATTACTAAAAGTTTCATACACGAAAGTTGGCAAGATTTTTAAACGTTTTTGAAATAATTATGCTCACCAAGGCTGCATTTATTTAAACAATACAAAACAATAATATTGTAAAATATATTTACAGTTTAAAAGAACTGTTTTCTATTTTAATATATTTTAAAATGTACTTTATTCCTGTGATGCAAAGCTGAATTTTCAGCATCATTACTCTTCAGTGTCTTATGATCTTTCAGAAATCGTTCTAATATTCTTGTTTTGACTGATTTCTTGTTATTATCAGTGTTGAAAACAGTTGTGCTGCCTCATATTTTTGTGTAAACCATGATACATATTTTTTTTCCAGGATTCTTTGATGAATAGAAAGTTCAAAAGAACAATATTTTGAAATAGAAAACTTTTGTAACATAAATGTCCTTACTGTCACTTTTGATCAATTAAATGCATCCTATTTAAATCTTACTGATCCCAACTTTTGAACGGTAATGTTCAACCTGGTTTTGTCTTTCAGCTCTTGAAAAAAACAGAGAAAGCAGATGATGGTGATACTGAGAAGCCAAAGGAAAAGCCCAAGAAACAAGACCGAGAGAAACAGAAGGAAGATCGACCTCCTGGAGGAGGAGACACAAAGAAGCGGCAGAATGGTGAACACAGAGAGGAGAAAGGGGGAAAGTATGTTGGTTACACTCGACATTAGCGCTGGACAAAAAAGATTCCCAGCCTTACTCAACACATGTTTTACTTTTCAGGTCTTCTCCTCTAATTTCATATGATGATGTCAATATGCTTTGGTTTTTAGGTCAGAGGATAGTGGGCATAAAAATTACAGAGATCGTGATGGAGACCGGGACAGAGAGAGAGAGCGAAGACAGAAAGAAAAAGAACGTATCAGAAGGCAGGATGAAGAACGGAGGAAAAGGGAACGTCATGATGGAGAAAACACCTACAGAAAGAGAGATGAGGAGGGGAAGAAGGACAAGGAGCGTGTTTGGGAGAAAAGAAAGAATGAAAACACTGGAGAGTCCTCCGTTAATGCTCACCCTGAAAAGCCATCAAAGGACAGCAAAAAAGAAGACAGTGCCAAAAAAGACCGTCTGAGAAATAAGGTACACGACCGGTCATTTGTTTGGAAGAATTAAGATTTTTTTTTATGTTTTTGAAAGAAGTATCTTATGCTCACCAAGGCTGCATTTATTTGATCAAAAATACAGTGAAAAAAAAGTAATATTGTTAAATATTATTACAATTTAAGCATTTTTTCTGATTTTAATATATTTTAAAATATAATTTATTCCTGTGATGGAAAAGCTGAATTTTCAGCATCATTACTCCAGTCTTCAGTGTCACATGATCCTTCAGAAATCATTCTAATATGCTGATTTGCTGCTCAAGGTAATACATAATATTAAGAAATATTTCTTAATATAATGTTGAAAACAGATGTGCTGCTTAATTATTATTTTTTTTTAACTGCCTTTCAAAACTTTAGGGTTTCTATTTGAAATAAATGCTGTTCTTTTGGTTGTTCTATTCATCAAAGAATCCTGATTGTTTCCACAAAATATTAAGCAGCTAAAACTGTTTTCAACATTGATAATAATGAGAACCATTATTATTAACTGAGCACCAGTAATCATTTATAATAGAGCACCAAAACAGTATATTAGAATGATTTCTGAAGGATCGTGTGACACTGAAGACTGGAGTAATGGCTTTGCCATCACAGGAATAAATTACATTTTAAAAAAATGTTAAGATTGTAGTAATATTCCACAATATTACTGCTTTTACTATGTTTTTGATAAAAAATGCAGCCTTGATGAGCATGAGACTTCTTATAAAAACATCAAAAACTTTGTATGTGTATAACTTGTATTTCACGTATTGCTTATAGTTTTTACATTTCTGTCTTAGGATCGGCCTGCAATTCAGCTGTACCAGCCTGGAGCGAGGAGCCGTAACCGGGGCGGAGGAGGAACAGGAGGAGATGGACAGGCAGTGGAGAAGAGGGCTGAGCGGGAGTCCAAGAGCACTCAAGAGAAAGCTGCTGAGTGAGGAAACAGCTCTGTGCTGGCATGACATGATGTCTTGAGAGGAGGGGCTCTGTTCTAATCAGGACAAACACCTCAAAAACATGGTGCTGCCATCAAAAGAAATCCCCCCCCCACACTTTAAAAAAAAAACTTCTCTGTCAGTGACATGAGAGCACATACCTGTTGCCCTCCAGTGCCTGAATGAGCCTCCCAAAGTTTGTTCATGAGCAAGGCAAGTCCTAACCGACGGTTAGATTTGAGAAACGGCTTAATCACGAGAGAAGCCAAAGTGATTGGACCATGATAATTAAAAAGTGACCTTACTTTTGGTACAGAGCCGAACTTGTTTTACTTCATATGCTTTTCTGTTTCATAGTTTAACAAAGGTCTGATCCAGCTTGCTCACCCTTTCTCACTGTTCCATTTTTAGAAAGATCTTTCATGCCTTACCCAAATCCACTGCATTTCACTTCAGACAATCAGTAATAAATTTGTGTTCTTTGAGCATGGATGTAGCCAGCAGCCGTTTTAAAGAGCCTGCTGATCTACAATGTTTCTGTTCTGATTAGGGATTGGTCAGGTGGAAAAAGAGCCATGCTTTATAATGCTGATGCCTTGATCACTGTCAGTTCTTTTCTGCAAGTCGACTAAATTATATGCAAAAACAGATGTGGCCTTTTCTAGTTTTGGAATTGAAGCATATCTTACCACTCAGAAAAATCCAACTTCTGGTTAGCTTGGTTTGGAAACTGTGCTGCCATCCAATTATATGTTCCATTGTAACTAATCCTTAACTCAAAAAACAGCTCGGTTTCCTTTTATAGTTACAGCTTTGTCAAAATGTGAAGAGAAATCCAAAAAACAATAAATGAACAACCTATGTGTTATTTCTAGTTTTTAGTTTTATTTGTCTATTACATTTCTTTGGTCAAAAATCGAATTGTTTTCATTCCATGCCCTTTATGGGTAGCTTTTTATTTATAAAACATGATTTTTAAAGGAAATATCTTTGAAATGTTCAAGATATCTTAAAGTCTTAATAAATTGCAATTGTGTTACCTTACAATAAATTAACCATTTTTTTTACATTTAAGTTTGAATATAGTTAAGACTTTAAAGTTAATAGCTTTATGGTTTTAAGTTTCATTAAATTAATTTTTATTTTTAAATTGTTTTTATTTTTATTTAATTAAATTTTTTCATTAAATTAATTTGTAAGTCGCTTTGGATAAAATCATCTGCTGAATGACTAAATGTAAATGTAAGTTAATTTAGCCATTAAAAGCCTTGTGCTTGATGTCATTTTATGAGAAAGATAATTAAATGCTGATATTGCTGATTATTCACATAGTAAGTTTCAATAATTGGTTGTTGGCTGTACAAAAATAAAAAAATATAACAACAAAGTAATAAAATAAGGGGATAATTTTTCTTGAAGCGATTCATTGCCCGAAAGGATGTCATTATCCCACTTTTCTTAATTTATCTAATTAATTGTACATTATTTTAATTAATAAGTGCCTTGGGAGGGCTTATTTATGATGTTAACATGGCTGACGCATAAACTGGGACAATGTTTTTGTCTATAAAAAACAACATACAAAAATAATCTTTTATTTTCATGTTATTTATGTTATATTGGTAACAATATATGTACATGTACAATAAACAATGCCTGTAATAACACTTAAAAACGCAGAATTGCATGCAAAATCTATTTTTCAAAAAGCGAAATCTACCTAGTAGCTTGTGATCCGTGGAGCCACTGGGTGTCGCTGTGAGTTGAAGGAGCGGCTCGGTTCGTGACTCGGATATACAGTGCTCGCATTACCCAGGGTTTCTTCTCTTCGACTACCGCCATAGTGGTGAACGGATAGCGATCTCCGAAATGGTAAGTGGGAATCTTAAATCATCCTTAAACAGGTAGTTGTTCTCATGTATATCTCTTCATTTTTGTATATCAGTGGAAGTTCTTAGGTGGTGGGATTTAATATTTGAGAGATTAATGTTCGGTGAGTAATCGAATCATAGCTCGTATTTCCCCCGTGAAGCGTCGCGGGATGTTGAACTCCAGGCATTGCAGACGCTGACGTCGTGCTTCACATTTGTATTTCAGGCGTCGCATAAGACCTTCAGAATAAAGCGCTTCCTCGCCAAGAAGCAGAAGCAGAACAGGCCGATTTTCAGCATCATTACTCCAGTCTTCAGTGTCACATGATCCTTCAGAAATCATTCTAATATGCTGATTTGCTGCTCAAGGTAATACATAATATTAAGAAATATTTCTTAATATAATGTTGAAAACAGATGTGCTGCTTAATTATTATTTTTTTTTAACTGCCTTTCAAAACTTTAGGGTTTCTATTTGAAATAAATGCTGTTCTTTTGGTTGTTCTATTCATCAAAGAATCCTGATTGTTTCCACAAAATATTAAGCAGCTAAAACTGTTTTCAACATTGATAATAATGAGAACCATTATTATTAACTGAGCACCAGTAATCATTTATAATAGAGCACCAAAACAGTATATTAGAATGATTTCTGAAGGATCGTGTGACACTGAAGACTGGAGTAATGGCTTTGCCATCACAGGAATAAATTACATTTTAAAAAAATGTTAAGATTGTAGTAATATTCCACAATATTACTGCTTTTACTATGTTTTTGATAAAAAATGCAGCCTTGATGAGCATGAGACTTCTTATAAAAACATCAAAAACTTTGTATGTGTATAACTTGTATTTCACGTATTGCTTATAGTTTTTACATTTCTGTCTTAGGATCGGCCTGCAATTCAGCTGTACCAGCCTGGAGCGAGGAGCCGTAACCGGGGCGGAGGAGGAACAGGAGGAGATGGACAGGCAGTGGAGAAGAGGGCTGAGCGGGAGTCCAAGAGCACTCAAGAGAAAGCTGCTGAGTGAGGAAACAGCTCTGTGCTGGCATGACATGATGTCTTGAGAGGAGGGGCTCTGTTCTAATCAGGACAAACACCTCAAAAACATGGTGCTGCCATCAAAAGAAATCCCCCCCCCACACTTTAAAAAAAAAACTTCTCTGTCAGTGACATGAGAGCACATACCTGTTGCCCTCCAGTGCCTGAATGAGCCTCCCAAAGTTTGTTCATGAGCAAGGCAAGTCCTAACCGACGGTTAGATTTGAGAAACGGCTTAATCACGAGAGAAGCCAAAGTGATTGGACCATGATAATTAAAAAGTGACCTTACTTTTGGTACAGAGCCGAACTTGTTTTACTTCATATGCTTTTCTGTTTCATAGTTTAACAAAGGTCTGATCCAGCTTGCTCACCCTTTCTCACTGTTCCATTTTTAGAAAGATCTTTCATGCCTTACCCAAATCCACTGCATTTCACTTCAGACAATCAGTAATAAATTTGTGTTCTTTGAGCATGGATGTAGCCAGCAGCCGTTTTAAAGAGCCTGCTGATCTACAATGTTTCTGTTCTGATTAGGGATTGGTCAGGTGGAAAAAGAGCCATGCTTTATAATGCTGATGCCTTGATCACTGTCAGTTCTTTTCTGCAAGTCGACTAAATTATATGCAAAAACAGATGTGGCCTTTTCTAGTTTTGGAATTGAAGCATATCTTACCACTCAGAAAAATCCAACTTCTGGTTAGCTTGGTTTGGAAACTGTGCTGCCATCCAATTATATGTTCCATTGTAACTAATCCTTAACTCAAAAAACAGCTCGGTTTCCTTTTATAGTTACAGCTTTGTCAAAATGTGAAGAGAAATCCAAAAAACAATAAATGAACAACCTATGTGTTATTTCTAGTTTTTAGTTTTATTTGTCTATTACATTTCTTTGGTCAAAAATCGAATTGTTTTCATTCCATGCCCTTTATGGGTAGCTTTTTATTTATAAAACATGATTTTTAAAGGAAATATCTTTGAAATGTTCAAGATATCTTAAAGTCTTAATAAATTGCAATTGTGTTACCTTACAATAAATTAACCATTTTTTTTACATTTAAGTTTGAATATAGTTAAGACTTTAAAGTTAATAGCTTTATGGTTTTAAGTTTCATTAAATTAATTTTTATTTTTAAATTGTTTTTATTTTTATTTAATTAAATTTTTTCATTAAATTAATTTGTAAGTCGCTTTGGATAAAATCATCTGCTGAATGACTAAATGTAAATGTAAGTTAATTTAGCAGCCTTGTGCCTTGTGCTTGATGTCATTTTATGAGAAAGATAATTAAATGCTGATATTGCTGATTATTCAAGTTTCAATATTCAATAATTGGTTGTTGGCTGTACAAAAATAAAAAAATATAACAACAAAGTAATAAAATAAGAGGGGATAATTTTTCTTGAAGAGATTCATTGCCCGAAAGGATGTCATTATCCCACTTTTCTTAATTTATCTAATTAATTGTACATTATTTTAATTAATAAGTGCCTTGGGAGGGCTTATTTATGATGTTAACATGGCTGACGCATAAACTGGGACAATGTTTTTGTCTATAAAAAACAACATACAAAAATAATCTTTTATTTTCATGTTATTTATGTTATATTGGTAACAATATATGTACATGTACAATAAACAATGCCTGTAATAACACTTAAAAACGCAGAATTGCATGCAAAATCTATTTTTCAAAAAGCGAAATCTACCTAGTAGCTTGTGATCCGTGGAGCCACTGGGTGTCGCTGTGAGTTGAAGGAGCGGCTCGGTTCGTGACTCGGATATACAGTGCTCGCATTACCCAGGGTTCCTTCTCTTCGACTACCGCCATAGTGGTGAACGGATAGCGATCTCCGAAATGGTAAGTGGGAATCTTAAATCATCCTTAAACAGGTAGTTGTTCTCATGTATATCTCTTCATTTTTGTATATCAGTGGAAGTTCTTAGGTGGTGGGATTTAATATTTGAGAGATTAATGTTCGGTGAGTAATCGAATCATAGCTCGTATTTCCCCCGTGAAGCGTCGCGGGATGTTGAACTCCAGGCATTGCAGACGCTGACGTCGTGCTTCACATTTGTATTTCAGGCGTCGCATAAAACCTTCAGAATAAAGCGCTTCCTCGCCAAGAAGCAGAAGCAGAACAGGCCGATCCCACAATGGATTAGGATGAAAACCGGCAACAAGATCAGGTATATCGACATGGTTATTGCCGCTGTAAGGAGCACTGCAATGTTGCACCCGCTACGACGGTCTTAAAGTGATAGTAGTTATTTTTTCTGCTTCTATAGTTTCTAGTAGCCGTCGCATAAGACCTTCAGAATAAAGCGCTTCCTCGCCAAGAAGCAGAAGCAGAACAGGCCGATCCCACAATGGATTAGGATGAAAACCGGCAACAAGATCAGGTATATCGACATGGTTATTGCCGCTGTAAGGAACACTGCAATGTTGCACCCGCTACGACGGTCTTAAAGTGATAGTAGTTATTTTTTCTGCTTCTGTAGTTTCTAGTAGCCAACGAAAGCAGGACGCAATTACAGTGCTAAATTTTGTGGGAGTACTGTCATTATCCTGCTGAGAGCATCCTTCTGCTTTGGAGTCACGAGTACTGTCATCTCTCATATGACATGTGAATGCTCTGTTGTGGAGACACATTTTACTTTGGATTATAATTGTGCATTTTTTACATTGAGGGTGTGCACATTAAGCAACTTTGCTTATCAGTACTTAGACTGGTTTGTTGCTATAGTGTTAACAATGCATTAAATTGATGTATGTGGTGTTTATTACACTACATTTTGTTGTGACATTAAACTGACATATGCTTGATGGGTTTGGATTAGGGCTGCACGATAAATCGCATGCGATATTTAATGCGCATCTTGTCAGAAAGCCGGTTCTGTAATCAGCGGTAAATCTCCATCACCTGCGTGCTTTCACATGGAGCAGCATTAACTACACAGAGCCGTTGTTAAATATCGCATGCGATTTATCGTGCAGCCCTATTTTGTATCATTTCAAACCCTCTTATAATTGGCTGCACTGTTCGTATTTGTTGTGCAATGCAGTTTACTACAATAGCCTAAAGAGTGTAGTGTAATTGATTTTAATGGGTGTTTGCCTCTGTGATGCTTTATCTCGGCAAATCTCTTTGCAGATACAACTCCAAGAGGAGACACTGGAGAAGGACCAAGCTGGGCTTGTAAACACGGTTTACTTCAGCTTCCCCCTCTGTCTGTTCCCTGCCGGGACCACCAACTCATCCAGAGCTGGAGAGAAGCCATGCTATCTGGAGCAGCAGTCTCTCTTTTGTACAGATATTCTGGTTATGTCCTTGCTGAACAATAAAAGATTTGTCATCGAAGCAGAAGTGTTTGTTTCCTCTTTTGTGAAAATGGCAAATGTCAAAGTTGACATCTTCCAGTGGCTGGATTTGCAACAGATTGTTGTGCACAAAAAAACAGCTACTAATAAACACTTTTATTGGCTTTCACTGAGCTTTTACGCTCCTTCTCATGAAGGATAAATACGTTTTTTTATCTATCTAGACATATATGTATTTCTGCAGTTCTTAAAGTCTTAATTCAATTAAATTAAGGCCTTAAAAAGGCATTTATTTTTTCTCTGAGCCAATTTGGCAAGTTTTTGGTCTTGTTTTAATCAATTTTTCAGAAAATATTTGCTTCACAAGTAAATGTATCTTGATTTAAGAATCTTTACACATTTACACTGGAAAAAGAACATGAGAGTTGCTTCCATATTGTAATGGTTGGAAGCAGAAAATTTAAGCCTGAAGTTATTTATTTTTGCTAAATGTAATTAAGAAAGTTGTGTATTTATATACAGTGGTTACAGAAAAGAATCACCCCCTTTAAAATAATCACATCAAAAAAACAGCTACTAATAAACACTTTTATTGGCTTTCACTGAGCTTTTACGCTCCTTCTCATGAAGGATAAATACGTTTTTTTATCTATCTAGACATATATCACTGATTTGGAAAAAGGATCACCTCCTTTTGCTTTAATTACAGCTTTTAGTCTGTTGGGGTATGTCTACTAACTAGTTTAAAGGGTGATGATTCTTTTCTATTTTTCTATACCCACTGTGTGTGTATATATACGGTATAATATATATATATATATATATATAAATAATCGAAAACATTGGTGATAAGTTCCTTGCAACTCGGTTAATTCAAAAGATTAAAATTAATTTAATACACAGCACTGTTATCAAGTTAATAGGTGCCACATTATTAACCATACAAATTTTGTTAAAGGAACAAATTGTAATTGTAAAACAATAATGACCTGAAAACATGATTTTGGCAAAGTCTCAGATATTTTCAAGGAGACCAATGTTGTATAACAGCCTCTTAAATGATGAGAATCGCTGGCTTGTGATTCCTCCTGAACCGTCCACTTCGACTCTATTTTCTTGTGTATGGTCTTCAGCTGGCTGTGCTTGACTCGCACTGTTATTCACATTCAAGTACCCTACAGAGTGTTCATCATCCCAAGCTCCCAGAAGCTCCTTCATTTCTCTAGGTGCATTGTCTTTGAGATACTGCCATGCTCTTTTCCCACTGTAGTCCAAGACATTTATATTAGCACTGAATGCACCAACCAAAGCCTTCACAACCATGTATTGGTTATGCATGGCAGCCACATGAAGAGGCGTCAGACCTCCACTGCCTCTCAAGTTCACATTCACTGACAGCCCCTCTTTTTCTGCATGCCTGAGAAGCTGAATCAGCGTCTCGTCCTTTCCATTTTTGGCCAACCAGTGGAGAGCTGTAAAACCACTGATAAAGTCTTTTCTGCTCAATAAACTGGGATCTTCAGCGAGAAATTCCAGCATAGTGTCATAATTTCCATCCACAACAGAAAGCATCCAGGCGTGCTCCATAGGATCCAAAGCCCATTGCGCACCGCTGTTCAAAGTGTCGCCATACGGTGCCTCCTCTGCTTCTGACGATTTGTGTTGGGATGATAAAATACTTGACAATCCAGATTTATTATTCAAAAACAGCTCTTTCAAATACTTCTTTCGCATAGCGGGGGTGAGGGAGCCCTTCTCCAACGCATCAACTGATAGTCTGCGGGAGGCGCTGCTGCCCCGTTCCTCCAGCTGTTTCTGAAATCTGGATCTACGCGAGGAGGCGCTGAGGGCAGGAGACACGGGTCGAGCGCCATGTCTTGACAAGATTTGCTCCTCAAGGTTTGAGCGGAACTGGCTTGCTATCCTGCTTTTAGGGGAATCTGAATTTCTTACATTGTTGCCTGAAGCTCCGCCGTCTGAATCGGTTGGTTGTTCTGAGGGCAGAGCTGCTTCTCCCACAGGGTCATCATTACAGTGTTCCTCAGAGCTGATGGGCCCGCTGCTGTTCCCCTCATACATACTTTACTTAGATAAGATCCAATTTGAAGAGGCTTACATAACCATATAAAACTGTCTTCCTTAGTCACTTCTCTTAACTATAAATGTTCAAATCTGGGTGGGGAAAAGGGAATATAATATTCGTAAATGAAATAATAAAAAAAAGATTAATAATCTATACTATATGTTTTTATTTAAGAGGAAAACAACAAGCAACATAGTTTAGTTTTCTCTTGGTAAAGAAACGCGCTTCTTCCTCGTTCGTGTTCCTCTTTTTACATTTGCTTTCGAAAAAAAAATCACACTATAATGACTAGGCTATTTTACATTATCACTATTTTATTTTTTAATCTTTTTCTTTTTAAGCCCGCCTTTTACGTTTTCATAAATTCAGTGGTTGATTCAGCCTACTACGTCTGATTAATGTCTGAAAGTTGTACATTTACGTCGAACATTATCATTTTATGTTCTCGTAAAGCTTTACGAGAACTGTGAGTTTAATTGATGAATTTAAATGAATACCTGTCTCTCAGGTAAACCATCCGGTGCCGTAGCTATCACCTGTTGTCGCACAGCTCTTCAAAGCAGGCTATTCTTCCCTCGTCCCTCTAATTCAAGCCGTCTGCACTTAACCAAATAATTTCCTGCGGGTTATAGGGCTTCACAAACCTCTGAACTCTTAGTTAAACGACAGTTTCTCCTTTCTGAGAAGCAGAAACTGCTTTCTGTGAGCTAACGAAACTATTCGAGTGTGTTTTTCCTCACAGTGGCCATTTCCGACGTCCAAACCCTCCCCTTGATAAAGTCTAAAGTTCAAATGCCACTGACTAAATCAACACTTGTCTTCAAACATATTAATTGACTGGTGGAACCGAGAAGGAAGGGGAAAAAAAACTTTTTTTAAATAGCCTATATATAATTTTTTTTTTTTTTTTTTTTCAAATTTAGCCCTGCTTAATTCCATATGATTTAATATGTAGGTTTGCTTCCTTATTTTTGAAATGTTACGTCAGTTTTCAAAATCACCTTCCAGCAACTCATGTCATAATATTCATACATATTAAAATGTATAGTATAATCAGCCTAAATGAGTCAACTTAAATTATGAAAGCATAGAGAACCTAAATCTCTATGCTTTCATAATGCTAACGAAAATAATTCCTATCGTACGCGTGGACATTAAATATTAGGCTATAATTAAATTAAAATGTGTTAAGATGGCCTTTGGAATATTACTATTAAACATTTAAAGTCAGTAGACCGATGTGACATATTTACTTCATAATCGTAACTTGCTGAAATCTTGAATATTTAAGACATATTCTCACCTTTACGCCATTCAGTCATACTTTACTGTAGTTGTTAGACCTAGAAATATGCATTTTAGCGGTTGAGCTGAAGACGAAGAGGACTATACCATTTAATGAAATGGGGGACATAGTGCGATGAGATATTTTGATTATCATGATTGTTTTGGGTGTTGTAACTATCAAACTATGTGTATTTTGGCTATACGTTAATTCGTATACAATTACAATTAAAAAAAATCGTGCAATTACAAAAATAACAGAAGCCGCCATGGCGTCAGTCATGAATGGTACAGTCCATCGTATCTGAGTTCGTCGCTGTAGCTTCTCTCTGCGTGCGTGCTGCAGTTTCCTGTGAAGGGTTGATGCAGGAGAGAACCATGGCGGCCACTGAGATAGCGCGACAAGCGGTAAGAGCACTGTTTTATTACAAAGATGTGCTTTAGGTTTACCAAACTGGACTGGTGAATTGGTACCAGATATTTTAGCGGGTGTGACAATTAGTAGAATAAACCAGTAGGTTTCGATATTCGTGAACGTAATGGCCCATTATCAACAAACTGATTAATTATACAATATTTAAACGGCTGTTATTGTTTGTGTACACGATTAGAGCATATAATCACATTTATTTGCACATTTTACTTAGTACAGCTATCTACATGCAGCTGTTTTGAGGGAAATGGCTTAAAGTTGAGGGCCAACAATAACGCACGAACAGCACGGTTTGAAGTGACCACGATTGATGGATTTTCACAAACAACGATAAAAAAAGATACAGCCACATTCTATTGTATTAAACGACAGTTTAATTGACAGTTTAAGTTAATTGTATTGTATTGTATTGTATTGTAAATTCTATTTAATTCTAGCGCGTCTGGTACCGTTATATTTAGTTGCATTAGCATCCTTGTATCCCCTCAGCACGCTGGGCGTTGTCTTTCATGAAGTATTTCGTACATTAATGCCAGAAACTGGCATATAAAACAATTTCAGATGTATTTTGTAGTAGCTTGTGTTCTGTTCACTCTGGCGTCTCTAATGTGAATATGTAGCTAACATGAGGCAGCAGGCTCGAGACTGAGCTCAAAGGCTGTGAGATATCATAAATGACGTCTATATCAGGCTTTACTACACAAACCAGGGGTTTGAACCAGTATGTTCTGGTTACAGAGCAGCCAGTGGGGTGTTTCTGTCATGATGACCCCCCTTTGGACTCCTTACGGTTGTCTGGTTTGGGAATGTTGCACATGTGGGTCAGATTGTGACTGTTTGTTCAGTCAATAAGATGCTCTCACAGTCTGACTTTTCCTAGTTGCTTGTTTTGCAGTTAATGAAATGTGCATTTTATGGTTCGTGTTATTCCTCAGTAATCCTCATAACAGAACTGATCATCTGGGCTGATTGGTTCTCACTGAAATGAATGCACATTTGGTGACCGTTCATTGCAGTTTAACTTAATGTTTCCATTTGGATAATGGAACTTTATTACATTAGACCTGTGCTGATTGAATGCTCACTCTTCATTTTTATTATTTGAGCAGCAATCTAATGATTTGGCACATTCGCTCTGCTCATCACATAGGTCACACATATGCAAACACCCACACACCAAAGGATATGCTGTAAATGTGGGCAGAAAGCCTTTCCTGCTAGAGTTTTGGCAGGCCAGGTTTCAGACCTGTGTGAACAATGGTAGAGGAAGTGCTGAAGTATAATATGGCCTAAATCTGACATTTGTGTTATGTTATTTACAACCGCTTTGCTTCATAGGAATCTGTGTTACTTGGTAACGGTAACATTTGTCTGTGACTGCAAAAAGGTTTACGTGTCTATCTTCCTGAATGTGGTTTCAACCGTTGAGATCAGACAGGAAAGAGGAAGTGCATAGAGCTGAACCTTTGAGATCTGCACCATAGTATTACAATTTGTCAAAGATCTTACATAGTGTCCATGAGGTGCATGTTATGTACTTTTACTTACTAAGTTGACAATGTTTCTTTTTTTGCATCCTCATGAATGAGGGTGCTTACAAAGACTTTGCATTGCTGAGAAACTGTGTGTGCAAATGATCTTTTTTGGTGAAAGTCATCATGCTTGTTTAATTCATATGGTTTGCTTTTATTTTATCTTAGGGAGAGGGTGCACGTGCCGTCCCACTCTCAGGTCATGTTGGCTTTGACAGCATGCCGGACCAGCTGGTCAACAAGTCCGTCAACCATGGCTTCTGCTTTAATATCCTCTGTGTGGGTGAGTATAGTGTTGGGCGATATGCTCAATTTTCATATCATCCTATCGTCAGCCTGTGAGATCGCCGATACATGATATTATCGTGCTAATTTATGTAATTATTTACTTAGTTTTATTGTGAGAAAGTGAACCAACTCCAGCGTAAAACTAAAAGCAGCCTAATGTTTTTAATATGACTGAATTTGTATTTAACATGATAACAAATTAATAGAAACATCGTAAGTTACTAATTATAATGCTTACATTTCCTCAGTTATTCAAAAAGCAGCTACAAAAAACGAGCAAAGAACATTACCAAAGAACATCATCACAAGCTCAGTCTAGCGCAAGTTTATGCACTTTAAAAACACTCCCGTTAAAATCAGTGAATATACACTGTATGATGAATAAATCTCTTATACTTACATCGCTTGTACATCTGCACTTTGTTGTTAATGAGGAGAGAATTCGCGAGTCAGAATTCAGTCAGCACGCGCTGAACAACGGAACTGTTTCAGTGATGACTCATCTGAACGCCTCTGATTGGCCATTGCATTCATAAGCTCAGCATAATCGTGTGTGATTAGTTAAAACGAGCAATACTGTAAAAACGCGGAAAAAGAAATATAGGCCTAATGCAACAAATAAGCCCTAATATTAATTAGATAGTATTACTAGCCTAATAATAATAATAATAATCGTCTTGCTATTGTCAAAGGCATCAGCCACAGGCGATATCTGTCTGTCGTCGATACACGATACTATCGTCTATCGGCACAACCCTAGGTTAGTGTGTCATGCAAGAGCAGGGGCGAAACTAACTATTTGCTTCAGTGTATGTCACACGCCTTCACTGTGAATGCATACTGATTCTGTCCTGTGACCCACTTACTAAATACTGATGCACTGATGGAGAGCAGTTGCAGGAACTCACAATTTGGTTTCGTTCATACTAGGGCTGCAACAACTAATCGATAAAATTGATTATTATCGATTATGAAAATTATCCACAACGATTCTCATTATCGATTAGTCGGGTCTGCCCTCAGTGGACATCCAACTTCAGCCGGTTGCGTCAAATTACACAATTCATAATCAGCGCAAAAACATTTATTGTGCTGAAATATCTGTTTTTGAAAGTTAAATTAAGGTTTAAAGGTCAACATGCATTGCGAGTATTTTATGAGAGTAGGAACTGTAAAGGGATAACAGTGTGTAATTGTCTGAATATAAATATCAGACGCTTCATAACAGCCTTTTACAGGATAAAGAAATGACAGTAAGACATGACTGTGGTCAAAGTGAACGTGTGTTCCTGCAGAACATTACTCTTACCTATTGGTTACAACTGAGTTTGTGATTTTATTCGTCTTTATAATTTTTATTATTTTAATTTTTAATGCAGAGATTTAAACTATATTCACTATATACAATGCTTAAATTTATTAAAACAAATTTATGTAAGGTTTTTAACAAATTATGGTTTGTGCCACTGCTGCTCTAACAGTACTGGTGATTACCAAAATCATTTTTTAGCTTTCTGTATTGGTTAGTCCTCCAAAATGTGTAAGCTCTTTAGTAACAGTAGTAGGCTATTTCTAATGCTATAATATAATTATTGCTGTTATCTATGAAAGAAAGGCAGAGAGCTTTATAGTGTTTTTTTTTCCAGATACCCAATTACAGTTCACAAGTACATAAACAATGCCAGCAAGAATGCAAGCTGTTATGAAGGGTATAGTAGGCCATTTTTTGTTATGTGAATAAATACTATTTAGTTGTTTAAGTTTATTTGCCTAATAAATGAAAATAACATTTTTTGATTTAAACAATTTTTTGACAGATTCCTAAAATTCCTAAAATGTGTTTTCTCTTTATTATGGCAGGTGGTCTAATAAATTGTTAAGCACTGTATGTTTTCATAGCATTCAGTTGGCACGTTTGTTTGAAGGACATTGGGCAGAATGTGGAATAGTGTGTTTTTTGTAAAAAAAAAAAAATATATATATTTTTATCCGATTAATCGAAAAGAAAAAAGAATCGACCAGCTAATCGATTATCACAATAATCGTTAGTTGCAGCCCTAATTCATACCCTGATTTCATGTGTGGCTTGCTAACTGAAGGTTAGACATTTTCTGTTCTTACTCTCAAAGAACAGTTAAAAAATAGGGGAAATAATCTCTCAAACCATGCTATTTTTCATGTTATTTAACATGGTCAGTAAAAAAATAGTACAAACATACATACCTTCAAGGAGAAATAGACTAGCCTGTGTCATCAAATCAGTCCCTGTATGTTGTGATGATGAAAATGTTATGGGAGTCAGTCTTAACAAGGTGTGTGCATGTGTGGTGTTTTGGCAAAGAGACTGTGGCAGCTGATTTCGCCTCTTGAATCCAGGTGGTGTTTACTGCTGTGTTTAGTTTTGGCTAGTGCTGGTGTGTGTATTTCAGTTCAGTGTTGTTTATCGTTGAGTTGTAAAGTTCTAGTTTTTCTGAAATCTGTGACAAAGAGGGTGATGTTCACACAAAGCAACAATGCATTTTGAGTAATCAAAAGTGGGTAGAGGAGGTCAGACGTGTGCTTAACCACCACAAGGCAGAGACTGAAGGACTGTGCAGGTTCACCCTTGTTTTTAGTAACAAGTGAGTGACGTCATCTAGCCTAAACCTGTATGTGAGTTAGGGCTGTCAAAAAAAAAATCGAATTTCGAATATTCGTCGAATTAAAAAAAAAAAAAAAATCCACATTCGAATGCAAAAACGTTGCATTAGAATTTTAGGTCTGCGTCAGCCGTCAGGCAGCCTATCAGTGGCGCACGAAATGCGACGACGATGTAAGTGTCATTGCATTTTAATGCTTTTGTTAGCCTATCCAGTTGAACCTACTAGATGCGGCGCTGCTACGTTGTTCATTCATATATTGCGGCAAACGCGAGCATCAGTGTGGAGAAGATGTTGTTTACGTCAAAACTGAAACCAAGCCGTTCACACAGAACACATATTTATCACATTTTCTAGAGGACATCTATCACTCGCGTCTGGCACAAAAGAGCGGCATGTTTAGAAAGCCATGTAAAATTAATGTAAGTTCAACTTACTGCATGGTTGTTTATTAGTGAATTTACATTTATAGTAGATATAAAGTTACAGATGTAAAATTATGTTTGAAGTGGACTGCAAGAGAAAAAAAAATGTTCTTAATTAAATTTATTTATTGATCATCCTGTCTTACAAAAACAAAAGTGTGATGCAGCCTTTGGTCAGTATTTAATAATAATATTGAAATTTGTTTGTAAAATGAACATTATGATCTGAGGAAATGTTTATAGCAAACTGTGAACTAGGCAAATGATGCTGCCCCCTCACTAAAAAGCCATATGTCAATAACCCAAGTAAAATTCTAGCTAAATCTTGTGCCTGTGATACTATGACCTCTTTATGCTTTTTGTATTCACTTTGCCTTTGTGAATTATTTATACGAAGACATTGTTTCAGATTCTTTGTTAGGGTCCCCTAAAGTTCAGGGCATCTGCCAGGGCTTTTATCCCATTTCTGCTAAGGCTCTAAGGAGGTAATGACAGAACTCTCTAGAAACTAGTGTAAAGGGAATTTGGCAAATGGCAAGGGACTATTGTCAAGCAGGCCCCTTTCTCCTCTCTTCATTCCTGATTGTTTAGGTTCAGCTTCAGTGCTCCAGGTTTAGTGAATGCTGAGTGCTTTGGCATGCTGTAAATATCATGTGATTATCTGGAGAAGAGAGAAAATGCTTGTGATTCATATAACCATCAGCTTTGATTGAGTTATGTGATGCTCAGTGTGTGTGATGCCTGCATTGCCTTTAATTCAGTCTCAAGAATTTTTGATGCTTTTTGATAGTGAATGCTCATCAGCATTTGATCTGGGTTTAAAATCGCTGCTTTATTTATAGGTGTCAGATGAGGCTTTTTGCTCATGCCTGTAGTGAGGGGCCCGTGGGAATGGGATCTGCAGGCTGAGTTTATGAAGAAATGGCAAATGTGAGCCATCCATATAATTAACATTCTGGTGGTGTTGCATGATGTCCATTTCTACTGCGCTTGTGGTTGTCAGGAAAGCAAGAATAGGACCTTTAGGCAGACTGAACCAGGATTGCTGCATGACTTTTAGACTTTTACACACCAATTATGTGGGTTAAAATCTGAAGTGTATGCATCATCTAAATAGTGCACTTATGTATTAAAGCTGATGTGTGTAATTTTGATGTTAATAATTCATTCTCCTATTCCTGTTTGATATGCTGAATAAAGCTATAATATAGCAAACTTTATTTAATTATTTAAAATATCCTAGACACCATTATAGAAAAAAATAATTGAGAATTGTTTGTACATAGTGATATTTTGAATATCTTAAATGAAGAGCCTAGTAGCTTATTGCTGTGTTTCTTACAGGGGAGACTGGTTTGGGAAAGTCCACCCTCATGGACACCCTGTTCAACACCAAATTTGAGGGTGAACCTACACAGCACAATCAGCCTGGAGTGCAGCTCAAGTCCAACACTTACGAGCTGCAGGAGAGCAACGTTCGCCTCAAGCTTAATGTGGTCAACACTGTAGGCTTTGGAGATCAGATCAACAAAGAGGACAGGTGAGATCTGCTTGTGATCAAATGAGGTTAAGTAAACTGATTCTTTAGCTGCTTTAACCAGAGGCATAATCAGTCCTATGATGATCCATAATGTTAGTTATAATCTTCCACTGGTACATTTGTCATTTGATTATAGGTAAAATCTACTTATTAGGGGTGCTCCGATCAGGATTTTTGAGGCAGATCACAGAAAGCAGTATCTGCCGATACCGCTCACTGATACCAATCTTTTTAAAGCCTTCTTTTGATCATTTATAATTATTTATAGTGATACTCCAATCAGGATTTTTAGACATTTATTCAGGGCCTGAATTTCATTTTTGAAAATGGGGGGGGATTCCACTCTTAGGTGACTCTTGTGAGAGGAAAAGCAGCTTTCACACAGGAGTCTGCTCCTGATCCGTGGCTGTTTACCACAAACACAACATTTATCCATTATTTTGATTTCAAATCCAAACACTGTCACTGAAAATGCTTTTTCAGCTTTGCAATTCTTTTTTCACAGTATAGTAATACAATCTTTCACAGATATGTTTAAATATAAGCAACACATTATAGCGGTTCATAAAGAACTTTGTTTTCCTACCTCCACGAGTGCCATCTATTATTGCCTTGTTTATCTAAACATGTTCTTTCCCTTTAAACCTAGCCAAAAAGCTGTATGTGTTGACTGTGAAACACAGTAGATTTTAATAATATGCATTTATGGTGTAATTACTACATTTTCGTGTCAATCCATGTTCATATTTACTGCAAAAAATGCGCTGTTACTTTAATTCAGCGCTTGCAGCGCAGCAATAGACTCGGTGCCGAAACCATCTCTGCACTGCTGCAGAGGCACCGCTACTGGAACGCACTGCCGGACCGCAACGGTGTGCAGTGCGCACACTTTATTAATCTGCTAACATGAGCGCGGAAAAAATACGCACCACATTCGCAGTATTAGTGCTTCTAAGCAAATGAAGAGAATACAAGTACACATATGCTGCACAACTTGAAGCTGGCCCGTAAGACATTTGCATATTTTGAGAGAGAGCGCACGCGCTGATTCACTCACGCTGTTTGTGAAATTACGTCTCACACAAGGTTTTCAAATTACTTTAGAAGTTATTTAATTAAGAAATATGAAGGTGAGTACCTCACCTTCAGCATTATAATGATTTCACCCGCGGTGGACAGAGACTGAGACGGTGCCGGTGCATGTCGTGTCAAACCTTCTCACGGCAGCATCATCAGCTTGATCGTTTTTTTGAGATCGGACTTTTCAGAGACCGCCGATCAATCAACCCAAAGCGATTATCGGCTGATAGTGATCGGTAGCCGATCAATCGGAGCACCCCTACTACTTATCATTAATAACACATTGTTGGTTTTAATTGTCAGTGTGTGTGAAACATATTGTTATAAACGTAATTATTATTATAAAAAAATTATAATAATTTATATATCAAATTCAGTCTAGTATGTTTCATAATAGATAATAAACCTCAGATGAGAAACCATGATCAGCTTTATTTGTCATTAGTCATGACTACAAAGAACATTGTGTTGGATTTTTTTAAATTGCAGAACAATAAATGATTACTTTTTACTGATAAATTAAAAGATTTTACAGAGGATTCACTACTCTTTAAAGCCCCTGTTTATTTTGGGACTTCATAGTCTTTGTGGCATTTTTCATAAGAAAAAAACTCACAATAAAAGGAATTTTGTTGTTCCTGCTTTTCTTGATCTCTGTCATGTCATGTGACACTTGTGTGCAGAGCTCAATATAATATAAAGTTTGGATGGCATCATGAAACCAGATATAACCCCACTTTCAGGGTTCTGATGCCGTGGGCTAAGAAAGTGCCAGTTATAAAGGATTTTCATGGTGTTCAGATTTGACTGAAACGGCATGTTATTAAGCTGAATGGTTGTGACAAGCTTTATTTTGCCTGAAGATGCACTTTTATGAGTCTTGAGCTATCCAACTATTTATAGATACCTGAACCAGTACTTTTTCCCATCAAAGCTCACAGAGTTTTATTTTACAGTTCTGTAATAAGCCTGAAGCTTTAAACTCTTTGTACATTAACACTAATCTTACTTACGTGTGAGTGTTAAGTTTGTGTGTTTCTTTTGGACGCAAGTAATTATTTCCATGTTTTTCATTGTTCAATTTGCAGTTACAAGTCTATTGTGGAGTTTATCGATGCTCAGTTTGAAGCATACCTTCAGGAGGAACTGAAGATTAAACGCACCCTACACAGTTATCATGATACTCGGATCCACGCCTGTCTGTATTTCATCGCTCCTACTGGACACTCGCTAAAGTCCCTTGACCTGGTTACTATGAAGAAGTTGGACAGTAAGGTTAGTGATGTATTTTATTTTTAACAAATGTCTGATCACATTTATGACTGATCAGTATGACAATATGGTCAACGGTAGAAATCTCTTAGTCGGTACAGTATTTAATGCAGTGGGCTATCAAAAATACATTACTTTGTGATTATTATTTTTTTATTCTAGCAAAAGTAACTTATCTTTTAACCAATAATAATAATAATCATGTTTTTATTGAATTATTATAAAAATAGGCTTTTATTTAAGTAATGTCTGCTATATATGTGGCTTAGCATTATTTACTGTTTTATTGTGCAGAGCAGTTGATGTTTTAAGATGTGGGTTATTAAGCATTCAGCTGATGGCTATGCCATATTTAATGTCATTGGAGCTGTGTAGATGGAGTCAGTGAAGGTCAGCTGTGTAATACTGCATTCTTTTTCATCTCTATCTGTGCTGCACAGACTCCCTGAACAAAGATGCTCTGCATCCACACGAAACCACGAAACCGACACAAAACAATGTAGTATACATGCCAGACCAGTATTTGGCGCTGTAATTTTGCCACAGAGATGCCGTGTGGACGAAACGCCTATACGATACAAAATGTATGCATATACAGCTAAACGCGTCTCCGTGTGGAGATCTGAAGCGGAGCCTAACAGTTGCCTCGTATGTTTGAGAAGAGATTCCTGTGTACTTGCACTGTGGCTAAACCTTTATTTAAAGTGCCTGAGTTAACCTCACAATTCATCAGTAGTAAATTACAGGAAACAGACAAAGCGTAAAACTAGTGGCCAGGCTACTGAGAATAGTATTTAGATGGTGGTGTGGGAGGCAGGAGTGTAAAAATTGAGTGAGTGGGATCAGAGCACTCCATATGTGCACTTGTGTGTTAGAGAGAGGTGTTTGATTATAACCGCCCCTCCCCACCTAGTCTCAGCCTCAGACGTCATGCCTACGGACCGTTGGCTAAACATCTGATGCTAGAATCTTTAAAATACATCCGAGAGTTTTACACACCGGTCTGTTATTGTGGCGACATTTCCACGCCCGAAACGTGATGCTGAACGAAACGAACTGATTGGTTGTTTGACATGTCGCTCAAACGGCCTCATGGGCAGCCCTTGGCCAATGAAAGCTGCCATGAATTCCAGACCTTCAGCTGTCAGTCTGAAGGTCTGGCTACGCGAGACTACTCCCCACCCATTAGCATGGTTAGCACTTATCCTGCATAGTTAGTTTTTAACCCCCATGAGACTTGAGATTAAAGGAATTATTCATCAAAAAAATAATCATTTACTCACCTTCATGTTGTTCCAAAACTGTCTTTCTTTTGTGGAACACAAAATGAATTTTTAAAGAACATCTAGGCCATTTTTTCTATATAATGAAAGTGAGGCTCTCAAGGCTGAGGCTCTCAAGCTTTAAAGAAGCAAATGTTTATTTTTAGCTGAACTAGGCCTTTAAACACCCTCTCTGAATTGGTTTCAAAGTGAATGTCAAATAGCTGCATATGCTTAATTCTGTTCCAGTTTGAGGCACGTTCAGATGTGAGCAGGATGAGCTTATGTAAGCTTGCACAGCGTTCTATGGAGTCAATTTTAATTGCATTAACTGCTCCTAATTAAAGTTTTCTAAAAGAGTAGTCTATTTGTGCAAATACATGTGTCTGCAGCAGCCTCTGCACGTGAAGTAAATGCAGTCGTTCTTCTGCTCTCTGTGTGCCATTTATTCCATTTGCTCAGGCATAACAGGAGAAAAGCTGAGTGTCTGTGTTTGTCTGGACTTAGCCAGATGTTCTGAGGTTGATTTGAGCTGCTGTATTTAGTTTATTTATCTGTATTTAGTTATTTACTGCCTGAGTGGTTGAAAGTTAGCTGTCTGAAAGGGAAATATTTACTCACTAGAGCTGTTTGGAGTTTTATACGCACAGAAATCATCTGACCACTGCTGTGTTTGGTTGTCATCTTAATTCACGTGTATATAAATTGATTTAATTTCTGATTACTGATTATTCCCAAATGCCTACAAAAAGTCTTTCTCCTCTTATGTACAGGTGAATATCATCCCCATCATCGCCAAATCAGATGCCATCTCAAAGAGTGAACTTGCTAAGTTCAAAATTAAGATCACAAGTGAATTGGTGAGCAATGGGGTCCAGATCTACCAGTTTCCCACTGACGATGAGACTGTGGCAGAGATCAACTCAACCATGAATGTAAGTAACCAAGGATTTTTTCGTTTTCAGCCAAAACATTTTTTGGAGGGACAAAATCATTGAGTGAAAAAGTGTGGTTTAATTAGAGCTTCTCTGATGACACGTTTTGACCATGTCTGTGTTTTATATGTGCACACAATATGGATAAACTACTAGAATTTTGATAAATATATGCATTATATTACATACTCATTTTATTTGCATGAGACTGTGGCAGAGATCAACTCAACCATGAATGTAAGTAACCAAGGATTTTTTCGTTTTCAGCCAAAACATTTTTTGGAGGGACAAAATCATTGAGTGAAAAAGTGTGGTTTAATTAGAGCTTCTCTGATGACACGTTTTGACCATGTCTGTGTTTTATATGTGCACACAATATGGATAAACTACTCCGTGTTTAAACCATGGGAAAATGTCAATACAACAACTTGCCTCAGAAAAGCCAGTCAATGTCCAAAACACATTAGTCAGCTGGAAGAAAAGCTCTATGGAGGAGAATTTTGATAAATATATGCATTATATTACATACTCATTTTATTTGCATTATTTTTATGTCTTTCATTATTTCGTTATGTCTTCATTATTTAATGTATGCTTGAATAAATCATTTAAATTTCACAACAAATTAAATTTGGGTAGAAACATGAAAAGTCAATATAAACAATGTCTTTGTGCTATTTAAATGTTTATATACAACTGTAGACAGTTTTTATTTGAGAGGGGACAGTTAAATTTGATTAATTTATTTGATTATTAAATAAACTTTTATTTTTGGTTTTCAGCAAGATGAACATTTAAATTTGGTTACCGTTCGGTTACTGTTATGTAAACACTGTTTCCCACAGGATTTTGTAAGACTTGTGGCAACAGGTAACGTCACATGTTAATTAGCATATTTATGACGTCATTGCGTCGGGTTTACGTTCGGACAAGTTTTGGCACTTAAGATCTGTTCTACTCTCTGAATTGTCACATACTGTAATACAACTGAATGCCCAATAAAGCTGTTCCCATTTACACATTTTCTGTTGTCATGCATAAAACAAGTATAAATAGTGACTAAACACAAACCATTAATACTACGTTAACCAGGAATCACTCTTACTATACTCCTTAAATCCTGATTTATAATGCACAACATCGTCTGAATAAATCAACATACATCTAGACTAAAGAGCGACTATATGTGGTGGTTTTGGCTATATTCATTTTTTGTCTCATGCAGCGCACTGTCTGCATCTGAATAACAAACTATGTGCATATTAACAGACCAACTATGTTCATATTTATAAGCCCAAACAGTCAGTAAGCAACAGGTGGTTAGAAACGCTGTGTTGTACTTATTTATTGACTAGTCCGCTGCGGTACGGCCAACTGAATGCGCTGCTTCTCTGCCGCTCACTGCACAGAATAGACGCTAAGAGAGGCGATACTGCGCCGGGAAATTCAGACCTCGCGCTCGTGGGGCAGTACTGGAGAAATCTTCCAACTGAGCAACAGCTAAGGTTTATCCATGCAGTCGTTCTTCTGCTCTCTGTGTGCCATTTATTCCATTTGCTCAGGCATAACAGGAGAAAAGCTGAGTGTCTGTGTTTGTCTGGACTTAGCCAGATGTTCTGAGGTTGATTTGAGCTGCTGTATTTAGTTTATTTATCTGTATTTAGTTATTTACTGCCTGAGTGGTTGAAAGTTAGCTGTCTGAAAGGGAAATATTTACTCACTAGAGCTGTTTGGAGTTTTATACGCACAGAAATCATCTGACCACTGCTGTGTTTGGTTGTCATCTTAATTCACGTGTATATAAATTGATTTAATTTCTGATTACTGATTATTCCCAAATGCCTACAAAAAGTCTTTCTCCTCTTATGTACAGGTGAATATCATCCCCATCATCGCCAAATCAGATGCCATCTCAAAGAGTGAACTTGCTAAGTTCAAAATTAAGATCACAAGTGAATTGGTGAGCAATGGGGTCCAGATCTACCAGTTTCCCACTGACGATGAGACTGTGGCAGAGATCAACTCAACCATGAATGTAAGTAACCAAGGATTTTTTCGTTTTCAGCCAAAACATTTTTTGGAGGGACAAAATCATTGAGTGAAAAAGTGTGGTTTAATTAGAGCTTCTCTGATGACACGTTTTGACCATGTCTGTGTTTTATATGTGCACACAATATGGATAAACTACTCCGTGTTTAAACCATGGGAAAATGTCAATACAACAACTTGCCTCAGAAAAGCCAGTCAATGTCCAAAACACATTAGTCAGCTGGAAGAAAAGCTCTATGGAGGAGAATTTTGATAAATATATGCATTATATTACATACTCATTTTATTTGCATTATTTTTATGTCTTTCATTATTTCGTTATGTCTTCATTATTTAATGTATGCTTGAATAAATCATTTAAATTTCACAACAAATTAAATTTGGGTAGAAACATGAAAAGTCAATATAAACAATGTCTTTGTGCTATTTAAATGTTTATATACAACTGTAGACAGTTTTTATTTGAGAGGGGACAGTTAAATTTGATTAATTTATTTGATTATTAAATAAACTTTTATTTTTGGTTTTCAGCAAGATGAACATTTAAATTTGGTTACCGTTCGGTTACTGTTATGTAAACACTGTTTCCCACAGGATTTTGTAAGACTTGTGGCAACAGGTAACGTCACATGTTAATTAGCATATTTATGACGTCATTGCGTCGGGTTTACGTTCGGACAAGTTTTGGCACTTAAGATCTGTTCTACTCTCTGAATTGTCACATACTGTAATACAACTGAATGCCCAATAAAGCTGTTCCCATTTACACATTTTCTGTTGTCATGCATAAAACAAGTATAAATAGTGACTAAACACAAACCATTAATACTACGTTAACCAGGAATCACTCTTACTATACTCCTTAAATCCTGATTTATAATGCACAACATCGTCTGAATAAATCAACATACATCTAGACTAAAGAGCGACTATATGTGGTGGTTTTGGCTATATTCATTTTTTGTCTCATGCAGCGCACTGTCTGCATCTGAATAATGTGCAATGTGCATATTAACAGACCAACTATGTTCATATTTATAAGCCCAAACAGTCAGTAAGCAATTAGAAACGCTCTCACTGCACAGAATAGACGCTAAGAGAGGCGATACTGCGCCGGGAAATTCAGACCTCGCGCTCGTGGGGCAGTACTGGAGAAATCTTCCAACTGAGCAACAGCTAAGGTTTATCCAAAAAAGTCGCTAGGTTTGTCAGTATGTGCCTTTTATGGAAAAAAAGTCGCTAAAAGGGTCTGAAAGTTGCTAAATATAGTGCTAAAGTCGTGCTTGTGTGTGTGAGATGCAGGAGCTGATGGGGGGCGGTGGATATTTGTGGCGGTTAGTGTGGATATTATGGACCGCCACAAATAAATCGATGTATGGGAAGCACTGGTTGATCCAGTTTCTCTCTCTCTCTCTCTCTCTCTCTCTCTCTCTCTTTAAAAAAAAA